AAGTGTCAAAGACGCAAAAGAATTCTCAACTCACCTTTGGAGAGCGAAGGCCATCTGTGCCTTCTAAGGATGGCAAGGCTGGGGATGTTTGGAATTTGAAGACAGTGCAGTTGGAAGAGTAAGTTTCTCAAACTTTAGGAAGGGGGTCTCAAGGGGCCAATTATGCTGTTTACCAGATTCCTTTTCTTTCCCCTCCCCCTCGGTCTGGTCACTTCTGCTCCTAACATTCTAACCTACATTTCAACTTTGAAAATAGAAGTTTGGCTTCCTGGTCCCTGGGGCACAGCAAGGAGCACACCAAACTTTAATTTCTTCAGGGAACGAGGTCTGTTTTCAGGGGTTCCGCTTTGCAAAGTGAATGATTTCTCCCACTTGGTGAGCACGCTGCTTCTCCAATTCACAACATGTCCCCATTCCTTCCAGCAGAGCTCCTGGTCCAGGCAATCCGAAGACCACTGGGATGCTCTGTGGGCATGATCTGATGTGAGCGTGGTCAGGGGATGTGCTCCCTCCAGTTCCTAGCTTATCCTGGCCTGCTCTCTATGTTTGCAATTCTACCACCACATCCTACAAACTTCGCAGGACTTTCACCTTTCCCTTCCTTTCAAGAAAGACACTTTGTCCTGGGTCAAATCTTAGAAATTTTAATTCTCAGAATTTTTTATTAACGTACAATCATCTCGTATGAAAACAAAAACAAAAACAAAAACACTTAGTGAGGATGGTAAGGCTTGTGCAGGGAAGTCTGCAGAAATACAAGGCACCTCTCTCTCCCCTTCCCTGAGAAGGAGAGTGGAGATTTCCATGGGTCTGTTCTGCTTTCATGATTGCAGAAGGCTGCTCTGCTCCTCTGCTGGGCTAGCTGGCAGTGCCCTGGGAAACCTGACTCCTCCTGCCTTCTCCCTGGCTTGGGCTGCACCCTATGGCAATGGCATCCTCTCCCCACTAAGGGTCTAGAACCACTTCCCCTGCTTGAGCTCTGGGCCTGCAGAGAGAGGCAAAGGCACCCCTTCCGTCAGTCCTGGACCTTAAAAACAAAAGGAAAAAGAGGCAAGATGAATGGGGAGGGGAGGGGAGAAGAAGAAATTGTGCTCAAGCTTTCAAAATGTTGCTGAAATCTGTCATAACCACGTTTTTTTTTCCTCTTATTTTCTCTTTACTGTGTGGATTTATTATCTTATTTTTATCCTTTTAACATTTTTTTACATGGCTGTAGGAGGGAACAGATGAAAATGTCCTTGTAAAATGTACTTTCTCACCTTTAGGTCTTAGAAGTTAATTTTCCCTTATAGTATAGAACAGAAAAAAAGAATGGATTTCATTTTCCTGTTAGTATAGTTGTCCCAAGCTCATTTATTCTGTACTACACATTTTTCAAAATTTATTTGAAATTGGAAATTTTTGCCATACTAGATTCTCCTCTACAGGACTTTTCACTTGTGGATTCATTTTGATTCACTGGTGCATTTTTCTTTGTCAATACCAATACCAGGGTTTTAATTGTCATGACTTTATAATATGCTCTGATGTATTAGGGCAGTTATCCTCTCATTTTGTTTCAATTTTTTCTTTAAAAAACTTTTTGATCATTCTTGTTTGATATTTGTTTCTTTCACATGAAGTTTCAAATCAACCTAAGTATTATGTTCAAAATGTGTGATAGAAATGGATCATTATTGCCTTGAATTCAACTATTCATTTGAGCAAATCTGATTTTTCAAATATTAATTATTCTTCATCTAGAAGCAGGTATCATTATACTTATGTTAGGTCTTCTTTTATGTCTTTTCTCAACTAGACTTTCTCATTAAAGTCTTTCATATCTATTAATGTATTTACTTCTATTTTTATACAGTTCATGCTGCTATTGCAAATGGAATTTTTTCCATTACTTTCTATAGTCTATATTCACGATAGTGTAGAAATACTACTGATTTAATTGCACCCAGTCACCTTGATAATTTCTCATTATTATCAATAATTTGTTTATTGAATGTCTTAAGTATTTTAAAGCATAAATTCGTAGGAATTATTCTCTATGACAGAGACTATTCACTGTCCAACAATATCCTACATGATATTTCATTGTCTCCTTTATAGCCCAAGTGAAAATATTGGTCTGGTCAGACAGCTGACAGACAGAAGATTCTTGAGAAGAAAAACATTTATTGTTGCAAGTGATGTGTTTTGGGGGTTAGTTTTACTCAGAACTATGCCTATTCTACCTGACATTTGGGCTAATCACATTCTATGAACAGATATTTCAAAAAGCAATAAGAATGGGGATTACAAATTATACATAGTAAAGATTCTATACATGCATTCTTTAGGATCAGGAAAAAGAAAAGATACCAAGTCTCATAACTGCAGTTTGAGAATAGCTGGCTGGTGCAATAAGATAAGAATATAATATGTACACAAAGATTGTAATGAAAACTATCATTATTTATAGATGGAACAATTATTTATCTCAGAAAATTGTTCAACAATCTATTAGCCTTAATGAGAGAATTAGATATAAGACCAACTTACAGATATCAGTAGCATTTCTTTACACCAGCAATAACCAACTTAAAAATGAAATTGAGTGACATTTATAACAGCAAGTATTTATGAAGTATTTTGGAACTGCTTAACAGAAAATGTACATGACTTCTATGAAGCACCTTGACAAAACTTTCATTCCTTCCAGTATTCTTTACCTTTTTCTATTTTATTTTCTTCATAGCAATCAACACCATCCAAGTATACCTTAATTATTTCTTGTATTTACTATATGCTTCCCTCAAGCAGCATGAAAGCTCTCCAAGGGAGCTTTTCACAATTTTTGCCTTTCACTATTATATCTCCAACATCTGGAATAGTGCCTGACCTGTAATAAGCATTCCATAAATGCCTGTGAACAAATATGGAGAAAGTGTTAATTCTCTAAATAAAACATTAAAAACTTTTAATGACTGTAAAGACATTTTATACTTTAGATTTGATAATGTAATATTCTAAAGATGTTACTCCAAAAGTGATATTCAAGTTCCATGCAAACCCAATCAAAACCTTAGATGGACTTTTGGGGGAACTAACAAAATGACACAAAAATGTATATGGGATAGATCTCTCTGCTAATAGCTGAATTAACTTGGAAAATAAATTAATTCCCCCATCTTATTTAATATATTGCATACTATGTGTGAAGACTTACCACAAAACCAAAATATTTTTGAAAATGAACAAAATATCACATTGTGCGAGGGTAGACAAAATAACAAACCCAAGAGAATAAAGCTCTCACGACAGATTCTTAAGTAGGTAAACCTAATGGCATATATTAAAAATACTACAAATGAGTGAGTAAATAATTGACTAGTTAATAAAAGAATTACCTCATGGAAAAAAAATATCACTGGACCTGTATTTAACAACATATGCATACTGCATATCAGATATGCCAAAGAAATAACTATGAAAGATAAAGCTGAAAATTTAATCAAATAAAAAATACAACATCTGTGGCCTAGCTGCAGAATTTGTTTTAGTAAAACAAAACTTCAAAGCACAAATCACAGGCAAAACCCAAAAAGTGATAAATTTGATTAAATGAAGATGAAATCTTTCTGTTCAACAAAAAATTCCATGGACTAATTTAACGGAGATATGGCAGATTGGAGGTGTATATTTTCAATAGCTGTAACGGGAACAAACTAATATCTATTATATATATCAACAAAAAATGACATAAAAGCTAATGTAAAATTTGGCAAAGAAAAGGGACATGGTGTGTATAGCAGTGTAAACCCAAATGGCTAACGATTTGATTCATTCAGTTAATATGTATTTGTGCCTACTATTGTAAAGGCACTAATTCATATGCTTGTCACACAGTAGTGAACAAAACAGAGTCCTGCCCTCTGTAGTAAAGGTGGGAGGCAGACATTAAAAAAATGAGTTAGTAGGAAAGATAAATAGCAGGGTGAGAGGGAATAGAAGTGGAGGCTAGAATATAAGCTTGCAGTAACAAATAGGGCAGTCAGGTCAGCCTCAGTAAAAGGTGTTAGATGGATGAAGAATTGATGGGCATTCAAGAGTGTCCTGTCCATGAATGGTGATTGGAAAAGCATGCACAGAACAGTTTGGGGTGAGAGCAAGTGAGAATCAGGAGCTGAGCACATGAAAACACACTTGCATTGAGTACTTATTAGTGCAATGAAAAATAAAATAATTGTATATATTTTAAACTAAAAGTTATTCAAAATATGCCAAATATTGGTGAGGTTGCAGATGTATAAGGAACACTTGTGTATTGAAGTAGGAGGGAAGATTTTAAAGCCAGTATGCAAAACATTATCTATGAGCTAGCAACTCAGTTCCTTTGTGTGTACTCAGGACCTCAAGTGAATAATCATAGGATACTGGGGAGTTGGGAGCCACTATCAAGATTAATAGCTAGATCAGGGTGAATAGCAGAATAGTGAACTAACAATATGTATGGATTTTTAAAATATTATATCTAGTGGGAAAAACTAATATGTAGCATAAGATAAGAAAGTAACACATTATATATGTAATTTATGTAAATATTCATATGTGTATGTGTGAGTGTGTACTCTCAAACATAATTATTTCATTAAACACATTAGAATACTTGTCCAAAAGGCAAGAAAGAAACAGAAAATGAGATAAAATAATTAATTTATTTTTCAAAAGTAATGAGGGCCTGTGTAAATGATCATGTCCATGTTCCGGGGAGATTTTTAAAACTTTTTAAAGTTTATTCTCCTATTCTCTTATTCTTTATAGATTTTGTTAAAGACAACTAAAATAATAAAGGATGCATCAATCAACCAATTATCCAATCAGCAGGAATTTAACAGCATTGCCAAGGCACCAAGAAACAAATATGATAACATCCAGACCCTTGCTGCCTAGAAGCTTACGGCCTAGCTGGAGAACAGAAGCAGACTCCACTTGAACAACTGAAGAGCCTTTTTGTTCTGATACTTGCCACGTGTTTAACAGTGCAGTGATACATAGTGAAGACTATAATGTGGAGAGCCAGGCTACGAAACTAACCCACACACAGTCATCGTTTCCCCCATCTGCATTGTCTCTGGACAGTTGGAGGGAAGGAGGAAGCCTTGAATCTTTACCTTTTTTCACTAAATTTTCCCACCACTCTTCCTAAAGCACCAATCACGTCCTTGTTCCTTAAGCTGTAGATTAAGGGATTAAGCATCGGGGTCACTACAGCATAGAAGAGAGCAACCATCTTCTCCTGTTCTGCTGTGGAGCCGCTCACAGGTCTCATGTACGTGAAGATGGCTGTTCCAAAGCACATGGAAACCACAGTGAGGTGCGAGGTGCAGGTCGTAAAGGCTTTGCGACGTCCCTGGGCAGAGCGGATGTGCAGAATGGCAGCCACTATGCGAGCATAGGAGAACAGTACCAGAAAGCAGGGAAGCATGATCACCAGGAATCCCGAGATGGCCACCATGACCTTGTTGAAGGAGATGTCTACACAGGCCAGCCTCAGCACCGCCAACATCTCACAGGCAAAGTGATTAATGACATTACCACACAGGGGTAACTGGAAGATGATGATGGCCTGCATCAGTGAATTCGAAAGACCAGCCACCAAGCAGCCGGCCGCCAGCCCCAGGCACAGCCCTCCATGCATGATGGCTGTGTAATGCAGGGGGTGGCACACGGCCACATAGCGGTCATAGGCCATGGCTCCCAGCAGGAAGAACTCTGTGCTGCCCATTGCTAGGGAGACATACAGCTGGAACACACAGCTATGAAATGGGATGGACTTCCGGGCAGACAGGAAGTGAAGGAGCATCTGTGGGACAGTGCTGTTGGTGTAACAGATGTCCACAAAAGACAGGACACTAAGGAAAAAGTACATGGGGGTATGGAGCCTGCTGTCCAGCCTGATAAGGAGGATGATGAGGAAGTTCCCAAGCACAGTCACCAGATACATTGCCAGGAACAGGACGAAGAGGGAGACCTGGGTCTCCCAGTCACTGGACAGTCCCAGCAGGATGAACTCACTCATCCATGTCTGGTTTTCCCTGCCCATGAACCTCTGAGGACCAACCTCAATTTACAAACCAATAAAGACCAGATGTCTCATCCTTAAGTGAGGAAGATTTTATTCAAATACTTGGACATTTAAATCTAAAAGATTAACTTGTGAAACTTGACATCTAATTCCTGTTCTTGACATCTAATTCCTAATCATGGGTTTGGTTCATGTCTTTGTTGGATACCTGTTTGTCACTACTGACTGCCTCAGAATCCACAGTGAAATAACCTTTTAACCTCTGAATTCTCTAACTATGAAAATATTATGCTCAATTTTCATCCTTTTATAATCAGAAATTTGAGAGTTCAACTTAGGAAATAACAAACCTAAATAGATTTTAAGAGGCAACCAGGTCTAAAAACATATTTTAGAATCAGTAAAAAAAAAAATGCTTAATCTTAAAAAATCTTCCCATAATTTTCTCCATGTGAGTTAGAGTATAAGAGGAAATAATCCCAGATGGTATGTCTTTCTCTTTTAGAAGAATGTCATGAAGTTGGTTAGCACCTGTAAAGAAAAAGAACCAAGTCAACAATGGATTTCTTTTAGATGATATAAAATTAAATACTTGGCACAAATCTTAGCCTATTGACTAAGAGGTAATGGGCATCGGTCTACACAACCTCACTGATTTTATTGGTATATATCCTGAATAGTAACAGTTCAGTTCTGGAAACGAGGATGTGATGGAATGTAAGTTAATTAAAAGAATTAACTCATTGGAATGAACATTCTTCCCCTTTACTCTATTCTCATCTCAAAAATGGACTGTTTCACTGGCTGGAAATGGTCTTCTTTCATCTTTGTGCTATTTTCCTAGCTTATGTAACCGGAGAATAATACTTCTGCCTCCTGGATATTGTGCCCAGACTTTGCAACACTGATAGGTAATAGAACTTCAGAAAGTTCAAGGGCTCTGTGTTCAGAAACACCCTAGGAGTTCTTAGTAACCTTGTATTCATACTGGACTTCAATCCCAAGTGATTTCCACAAATCTCATGGGTGAGACAAAGTCCACTCTCAATTTATCACATACTCTGTCCCTCTAATTGCTCTACCTTTTAGGAGGAAAACATGAAACTCATCCATGGCTATCCCAACTGGACAGATTCTGCTTGTCGTCCATGATCAGGTGGAACCACTGAACACAGGATGAGAATCACACTTTGCATTGAATATGTGTGTGACAGTAAGAGCAGCTAGCGTCAGATCAATAGGGTGCTGGGACATTTGGACTGACCAGCATATAAAAGTCCTTCCTTTATCTGCGAATGAATTAAGCTCGATCAATCATTCCTGTCTGTTAATTATGTAAGAGATACCAGCAGGAGACTATAGAGTAGTGCTAAATGTTCTTTAATTCTTTATTATTTACCCTAGAATTCAAAAAGATAAGAAAGTCACATTGGAATATTTCTATCATAAAGAGGAAACTTCCCTTTTTATTCCTAAAGAAAACGGAAAAGTTGAAATATGAAAGAATCACCAGCATCCACAGTAGATACAAAACAGGATTAGTGGTCTCACAGGGAAAATTCAGTGCCCAGGACTGTCAGTGGAGCTTGACCACAAACAGACACTATTCAGAAACCAGCTCTGAGAAATGATGGAGTAGTCCCTAGTTCTGCCATTACATGGAAACAATTCATGTAAAGAGATTCTGATAGCAGAGGACTGAAAATAATAGTGCGGTGATAGTTAAATATGACAGTTGCTGAGTATGTGTCAGGTGCAAAAAGGAGACTTCGTTGAAAAATGTGACTAATAGCAATCTCTTGGAGTTTTAAGACTTACACTTCTTCCAAAATAATAAGAATTCTCCTCGGGCCTCGTGGTGCACACCTATAATCCCAGCAGCTTGGGAAGCTGAGGCAGGAGGATCACAAATTCAAAGCCAACCTCAGCAAAAAGTGAGACACTAAGGAACTCAGTGAGACTCTATCTCTAAATAAAATACAAAACAGGGCTGGGGTTGTTGCTCAGTGGTTAAGTGCCCTTGAGTTCAATTCCTGGTACCAATGATAATAATAATAATAATTCTCCTCTAAGGACTTGACAAAGAAAAGATTGTTATGATCTTTAGCCCATAACTTCCCTTGAAGGCACAGAATGTTACTGATTAGAGAGAGAATAAAAAATCCTGTGGTTAGCTGGTCATATCCTTGTATCAGCTTCATGCCTTTCTAAGTTCCTCTCCCTGGGAATCAGTGAACTGCTTTGCTGATCAACTTGCATTTCCTGGTTCACATTCATTACTTAGTTTCTTGATCTGTGTGAAGGGAATAGACATTCAAGTCTGTCCTAATCCATTGGGGAAGGGAATTAGGCAGGATAATGGCACAATTCGTTGACATGGTTTAGTAGGAAAACTGATTTTTTAAGGTAAAAAAGGATAAAAAGTGAAATAACACAAAAAAACATTTGTTATGTAAATAAAACTCAAAAACAAATATTCAAAAGCAAGATGGTAATACCTTAACTGAAAACACTAATAAGCTTGGTGAACATTCCTGAACTGCCTTTTCTTCCTGGAGCTGAGACTCAGGCTTCCTAAAGTCATGCCTCTCAAGCGTCCTCCTCAACTAACAAGGCCACATAAAAGCTTTGAGTGACCTGAAGCTGACCATTACCCTCTCCACCCATCCCTACCTCCTTGTGCATACTCACCCCTGTAGATACTCTCTGCTGCGGCAACAGAGCATTCAGAGCCCAGCATTCCGATGAAGTTGCATTCTGGCCAGTATCATTTGGGAACAGCTGGGCAGCCCCAACCTGTCTGTGGTCCAGATTGCCACGAGTTGACAGGGGCCATCCTATCCTTGGTCCCTTTCTGATACTTCCTTCTTCCAGTCTTTGGTTAAGGACTTGACAGAAGAAAAAAATGTAATCTCTTCTTCCTTCCCCAATGTCATCAGCCCTTCTTCTTATCTTCCAATGATGCAGGACAGACCAGAATTTATGTTCCCTTTAGTCAGATCCAGAAACGCACCCTATGGCAGCTAAGCTTGGTGATTTCCACTGAAGCAGTCAAAGCTGCAGGCTGGTGCTTTTCTTCCTGGAGTTGTCAGAAAGACCTTCCTCCTCAGTGCAGCTACTTTCTTAGAATGGAATACCAAAATGGGACCTTTAGCTCTTCCGTAACCAAATTCGGTTCAAATGTACACAAGACCAAAGGGTCTAGGAGGAGGCTATGTGTAAAGACACTGGTCTCGTGTCCTGTCCGGTAAGCATTGGAGAGTCTCTAAGTGCCTGAGCCCTGCCCAGGACAGGAGGCCCTCATTGCCCCAGGAAGAGTTGGGGATATGGAAGAAGTAACTTACTTTTCCCTCAGAGGTTAAATCTCTACAGGCCAATTATGGGGTGCTTGTTAGGAAGTTTTGGTTACTTTTATTTATTTATTTATTTTTTGCTTCATTTGGAAATTTTATATGGTCATTCCCTCTCTTTAAACACTTCCCTACATTTAAGAGACTTTACAAATGAGAATTCAGTCTTTATTAATGCAGACACGTGAGAAGAGAATCCAAAGTACGGATTCCCCAGAAGCCTCCTAAGTCTTGGTTGAATTTTTACTTTGAACTTGTGTATGGCTTTTTTGTCCAGGTAGCCATGAATTAAATGATTTGACTCAGGGTGTCCAACTGTTCTTGAACCATCTACGAGACCTTGGAGCAATAGCTCCTATAGTTATTATACCTCATACAAGTATTTTGTGGGATTTTCCCCCATTTTGAATCACCACTAAAGTCTCCTTAACTAGTCGATGTTTAATTATTTAACTACTTTTGTATTTATATGTCTGAAAATACTACAGAAATTTGCTACTCCTTTTAATCATCTCAAATTACACATCCATTCGACTGATTTACATTTGGGTTTTTTTCTAGTGTGTGGCTGTTAAAAACAATACTGCTTCTAATAACAGAACAGCCACAAATTGGAAACAACCCAAATGTAAAGCAATCAAATGGATGTATAATTTGAGATGATTAAAGGGAGTAGTAAATTTCTGTGGTATTTGCAGAATAGGTAAAGTGGGGGATCAAGTGTGAGGGAAGAGGGGAGGGAGAAGGGGAACAACTAGGGAATGGAGTTGATAAAATTATGCCAAGTGCATGTCTGAATATACCCCAATGCATTCCAATGTTATGCATACTATAATGTACGAATTAAAAGTAAATGAATAAGTAGAAAGAATACCTATAGAGTAGAGGAAGGGGATGTATACATATATACAAACCCAAATATAACTGGTTTTGGATATTGCATATGCACACACACAAAAATATCTTTGTGGATGCCTAAATTCATTTCTCATATATTTGGTAGAATTCACTGGTGAATATACCAGGTCTAAAATATTCTTCCATGGAAAACTCTTATGCATGGATTCAAATTTCCCAATATGTAAGATTCAACTCTTTCTTTCTGTCTGTTTCAGTAAGTTCATTCCTCCCCCTCTCCCCTGGAATTGTCCTACCTCATTTAGCTTTCAAATTTCGAGGTCTAAATTCATTTGTATCTTTCAATGCTGATGAAAGCTTTTGATACTCTTTCCTTTTCATTTATTTCTTCTCTTCCCCCTTTTATTGATGGGTCTTGGAAATAGATTTTAAGTGATGCTTGAAAATGTTTTGATATCATTGATACAGGAGAATACCAAAGAGAATACAAAGCCAAATTACAATTACAGGCAGCTAAAGTGAAAATAAATAGTGTGACCACATCAAATTAAAATGTTTCTGTACAGCAAAGGAAACAATCAACACAATGAAAAAGCACCCTATGGTAAGGGAGAAAATGGGGCTGGAAGCAATGAAAATGTGCAGACATGGCTCAGCAGATGCAAACTTTCAGCTGCAAGACACATGAGTTCTGGGTATCCGATGTGCAGCGGGGTGGTGAGGGGATGTTGATTTGATTGTGCTGACCATTGCACCACAAATGCAAATATCAAATCATCAGTATCACCTTCCATACATGCAATCTTTATTCATCAGTTAAATATGTAAAAAAAGGAAGATAAAGGAGGCAGAAACCCCATCTTTGAAAAA